CCCCCCCCGAACTCCCGACCCCCCCCCGTCTCTTGACTGCCCCCTCCAGAACCTCCCTGCCCCTTCTCCGACCCCCTGGCTCCCTTGTTGTTGGCCTTCGCCTAATGTCTCTGTGAGCTTGCTCAGGAACGACCTGAGCCGTTCGTCCCGGCACGCTGGGAAGCGGGGGAGGAGCTCCAGACTGCTGGAGGCGATCTGCGAATGCAGGGAGGGAGGGAGGGAGGGAGCTCTGCTGCAGGGGAGAGGAGGAGGGGCTCTCTCTGGCTGTCGGAGCCCCATGTAAGTGGCACCATCCGGCTGGCTGCCCTGTTAGCCACGCGCGCTCTGCATGGGGTGGGAAGTCCGGACATTTACAAATTCCCCACGGATGCTATTTTTAGCTCAAAAAGCCGGACATGTCTGGGGGAATCCGGACGAATGGTAACCCTAATTAAGAGTAAACAGAATATTTTAATACAATATGTTTCCCTGCCACATTCCCTTCAATCCAGCCTATTCCTTTGTATGTACATTTCTCACTTCTTTATAGATACAGTATCAGACACTACCTCCTGAATGTGGTTGCAAAAGTGAATATGATACAAAATACACTTTGTTTTACCACATCATTTCAGAGAACAGAACTAATTAAACATTCGGCTCCCAAACACTTGTTCATTTATCTTACGAGTCTTAAAAAACTTGAGGTGGCAGAAACCATAGCTTATTACTAGAGCTTTTTAGACCTTCATGGGCTCATAAGGCAGGACTTTTAAAATGTGGCTAAAGGAATTTTTTTGTAATGGCCTACACTTTTTATGAAAGAGAGTCAAGGTGAGCAAATGTCAATAGTGATTTTTTGGTAAAAAAAAACAATGGATTTTAATGTTAAATGGAATATTTAGGAGCCCCTTGCTGAAGCTCCTTTTTCAAATAGAAGCTTTGCCCGGGTCAGCTGGGTTCATACATCATCATCAGGGGGTGAGGCTAAAGTAGCCTGAAGAAGCTACAGCTGCTTTGAAGTGCAACAGCACTAGAAAGGATGATCAAGTGGTTAGGGTACTAGCATGGAACTCAGGATGACCTGCATTCAGTTCTCTGCTGTATGAGTTTCTGTATGACCTTGGGAAAGTCACATAGTCTCGCTGTGCCTCAGTTCCCCATCTGTAAAATGGGGATAACAACACTGCCCTACCTCACAGGGATGTTGTGGGGATAAATACATTAATGATTGGGAGATGCTATGGTAATAGAAGCCATATAAATACCTTGGGGGGAGAAGGGAAAAGAGAATTGGGGAAGGGAGCATTTAAGAACTTATTTGTTGTCTTTTCGATATACAATTGCTATTGGAAACCCTGCATGCATTACATGTGACACACATTCTATCACTTTTAGGCGGTGTGGAATTAACCCCAGGAAAAAACTGGCTCAAACAAAACATGTCAGACTATGACGATCATTTTGAGAATGTATATGATATAAAATGTAGGATACTTTGGTAATAGAATACATGGAATAGTATACATGCATCCAATCAACCACAATAAAATACAATACTACATGTGATATTTTTACTTTATGTAACATATGTGAGTTATAGGATGACAGAGAAGCTGAATGCATATTTTTGAATAGGCAGAACATTTGAGATTGTTCCTTTGCATTTGTTCAATATTATAAATAAGAGTTGTTCAGTTCCTACAGTGATGAAAGGAAGAGAAATACCTACACATAAATGAATACAAGAAATACTAATTATTGTTGAATATTAGACGTTATATAAATTAAAGGTATCTCTTTGCACTTGCACTATAAATTATAATAAAAAGGGATTTTTAAAATATATTAATGACCTGCATGTACTAAGCAGAATGTAACTGAACTCTAAGAAGATACATGACTCAAATTGCTTGCTAGCAATCTCTGAAGAAACCAGGCATGATTGAGATGACTGATTGATAGTATGGCTGCTTGCACAAATCTCTGCAAGGTGGATTTTCATGACTCATTTCATGCTTTGCATCCTTTGGAAATTTGGCTGTTTTTATAGTCACACAAAGTTGTGTGTCCTAAACATACCAAATAGTATGGAAAATAACTTGCCCGTAATCTTTAGATTGTCTGATCCTTAAGGTATGCAAGAGTTGAGAATTCCAGGCATCAATTCAAGTACTTTTCTTCACTTTGTCCTCAGAATACATAGATTAGTTATTATATTTAAACTGAGATATCTAAGCAAGCTCTAATGCTGAAACTTATAACAATGTGGCGGAGGTAAAAAGGACTAAGGATGGTACCCTAGCTGAACTGATGCCCAGAACATAATGCCTTGGAATACTCTAATGTCTCAGTTTATCCTCCTGTTGTTGTTATAATGATTTAATCCAGGATCCAACCACTTGGAACTCACAACTTCTTTATGTAACAGAACAAAAGTATTAGTACAATTATGCCAGGAGCAGCTAATTCATTCATTATACAAAAAAAAAAAAAAAAAAAAAAAGGAGAGAAAATGCATAGGGATAATTTTTACACATAAATGTGATAATTAAAAAAAATTGATTCCATCAAATGCCAAACAACACATCGCATTATGATTCAGTTAATTGTGGAGACTGAATTTTAAATAACAAGGGAAATGCATACCTATGTTCATTCCTGTTGCAATGATTTGCTGTTGAAATACCTGGGGCAGAGGCAATTAATTGTGAAGAACACTCTCGCTCTAAATGAGTCTTCTTGATCTCCCTGTCCTCGTCTTCATTTTCACACTGAATGAAGAGAAAAATGATCATCTATTGAATTTTATAGGTGACACAAGTCCCATGTACAGAAGCAAAAGATTGCTGGGTATTACAGGAAATTAGGGCCTGTATTCTGGTGTATCCCGGTATTAACTATTATTTAATTTTATTTATATAGTCCACAGACTATACAGACATGCACCAAGATAGTTTACTGTCTTGAAATGCTTAAAATCTTAATAGACAACCTGCAAGCAAAGGAGTAAGAAAGAAAATGTGACAATTATTTTTAACCATTTCTCTCCTTCCATCTCTAGCCATTATCTTTTTATGTCCTCATTTTTGTCCATTTCCTCTACATTTCTTCCCCAAATTCACACCTGGTTTCCTTTCACTCTATTCCTTTCTTCCATGGGTCCCATGTCCCTTGTCACCGTTTCATAAGTCCTTCTATCTCTCTCCTTCCTAGAGTCCCCCCGGACACTGTTATTGCTTCCCCTACCTCCTATGAACTCCATAGCCATTTCCATTGTTAGCACCGTCCAATCTCCAAGAGTGATTGAGTTCCTCCTGTTACCCATTGGGTGGGCTTCATTCATTGCTTTGCTACATGGCAACAGCATTCTGTCTCTTTTACACATTACAATCAGGGCTGCTTTTAAGGCATTAGTATTGTGTCTACAGCTTGGCTCTCATTCATTAGGAATGACGATCATCCTACATCTTTAGTACATACTCTGTGGTTGTGTCTCTATTTACCCATATTTTTAGGGGAATGGTGGTAGTTGCGGTGGTTAAGCCTGTTTCTGCTTATGCCACTTTGCCTGCTGTACCCTTATGACATTCATCTGTAATTGGTGACATGCTGTTTCCTTGTCTTATGCTGTTTATTCTGCTTTTTCATCGTACCTTCCTGTCTTCTGTTGCGTATACAACGTGGCAATATCACATTTACCCTTCCTATGTCATAGTGGCACAGCTATGCTTTTGCTTCTGCTACTCTTTGACCATTCCTGGTCACTCTCCCATGATTACTGCATGCTACTTCCTGGGCAATGCATACTGGATGAAATGCAGACATTCCTCTGAAAGAGGGGAAGCTCAGTGGGTCTCTGTATGATGTCTGAGCTGTGTTCAGAACGGCCCCTGGGATCAGATCTGTAAAAAGGGACCGTAAAGCTGCTCTAATTGGGCAGATGGGGATTCCCACAGCGTCGGGAAATCCTCAGCTGGTGTAAAGCTGGTGCATTTCTGCAGTGTGGGGAATGTAGGTAAGTGCTGGCTGCAGCACAGATGTAACTAGAGAGCTGCTGCACTCTGGCTATCCATGGCTAGTGCAATGGCTGCTAGAGATGGCATCTGTGGATGCAGAACAGACATTGAGCTAAATTCTGGACTCAGTTATATCTGTGCAACCCCACTGAGTTAAACAGTATTGCACTGAGAAAAGTTGTCAGCCCAAATGGATCATGAATTTGCATAAATTAAGCTCCCGCTGATGTCAGCAGAATAGCTGTATGCAGAGAGTTTGCAGGATTGGGCCCTTTGTTAACATCTTGAGATGACATAGGCACTATCTCTACCTCCCTTCTCCCACACACTCATAATGAAGACATGATATTGGCTTTGATTACACAGCTGCATACACTTCATTGTCTGATTTAGACATCATCTTCAGATGTCCAAGTTTTGAAAAAAACACTAATAAAGGGTACTATTTTCATGAGGAGGGAATGACAATGTGTCAACTGAAAATGCACTATGGGCTATGGTATCTTTGACCCCTGCTGGCTAGAAGTTTTATTTTTGCTTTTCAATGTTTTTTTCCCTCCTGTTCCTTGAATGACTGTTGTTGGTTCAAAGTCACACACAGGGGAGTGAGTGATGATGAAACATTGCTTCAAAAATTTGAATTCAAATAGGATATTATTGTTAAATGCATGATACATACACATATTATATTGTTTGGGTAAACAGATCATATACAAGACATAGATGATTAGATAGATTAGATAATAGATTAGATAGGAAGACACAAAATATGCCATGCAACTTTCCCCTGCATCCCCTCCAAAACCAAAGAAACTCCCATACAGCTTACCTTGCGTTTCCTTCTAGATTTTGGCACAACCTTTTCTGCTGGTGGGTAAGTACAATTATTCTGCTGAAGGCTGGCTTCTTCTTTTCCTCCAGTGCTCATTGCCAGTGACTCCTCAGGTAAACGCTCTGGAACTCTGGACAAAAGAGTCAAATCAATTTTGACCCACAGTGATTTTACCTCATCACTGTCTTTCAGAGGAGACAGGAGCTCATTCCTGCCAAAAGGAACTAGAGTATAAAACTGTTCCTCCAGCTCCTTTGCTATATCATTACTAGTCCTGGCATTAATGGAGCCAAAGGCACTGCAGCTGCTGTTAGTTTTGTTGGTGTTACTGCTCACGGAGTCCTTCAACCTCTGATCACTCCCACCTGAAGCAGAGGCCACAGTTTGAGGTTTGGGCAGAGGATATTCCTCTTGTTCGGATTCTGAATCTGAATCTGAGGAAGATGATGAAGACGAAGACTCCGTCTCGATAAATTCCTTGGATTTGGGGGCAGTTTTGCTTGGCCCTCTGGTACGTCTCTTTTCACACGCAGCGACAGAGCGGGGCTCTTTTCTGTGCCCAGTTCTGTTGTTGCAGGGCCTGGCTTTAGGTTGTTCACAGATGTTATTTTCCAAAAATACTTGGCTCAAAGCGAGATCCTCAGATGTATGGCAGTTCAAGGCATCCCCACCAGAGGTCCTCTCTGTTCTTCTTGGCTGTTTTTTACAAGTCGTCCTTCTCTGAGGGCCGCTGTCTCCAGGAACAGCAGCAGCCGTAGGAGGTGATTTCTGCTTCCCTCCTTTATTTCCTGGTGCTTTATTAGCAGTTCTAGGCCTCAACTCCTCTTTGCTGGGGTTCTTAATTTCCTTGTCTCTAAGGTCAGTTTGGCAAATAGCTGGTATTTTCTCACACTCCTGTCCTTCATCCTTTATTCTGCTGTAATACTGATTGCTCTCCAGTCCATGGTTATCATTTTGGTTAAGAATAGATGTTTTGTGAGGATTAACTTTATTTAGCCATTTATCCAACTGCCACTTGTTTGATGATGGCTGCTCAGGCTGAAAGCAAATCAAACAAAACAGTATTTAATAAATTTCCAGCTGTGAGGGACATCACAGTCTGTATTTGTATAGGTTCTCTATATGTTCAGAGTGAAAATAACTAAATTGTAGGGCTTGTACTGTGTTTTTTTTAACTGTGGCCATGCTGTTCTCATTGGACAAGCTAAGAGTTCAGCTCCTGGAATTAACCCTTTACCTGGTACCTTGGGGTATGAGAGAAGCATCTCCATGAGGGTGGTGGAATCAAAGAAAAAAAAAAGAATGATGCGAAAGGTGAAAAAGACAGTTAAACAGACAGTGTATAGTTAGTGCCTGTTTAAGTTTACTGTCTTTATTAGGGTACCCAGCCATGGAGTTGAATAATATTCCTCTGCTATTAACAGGAGCATTGACTTTAGGAGCAGAACAGAATGACTAAAGTGCAGGCTGTTAGAGACAGGGTGTACTGTAGAAGCGATATTTTCAGTTTTGAATGAGGTTGGGAAGGAGGACAGCTACTGTGATTCATACTTCTTAAAAGGTGATTCATGCAGTGCGCTATTGACATCCACTTTACTGGGAAATGCTTCCAACTTTCCAAATAAAAGAAAAGATAATGGTGATAGAAAGACAGAAAAAAAAGGGATAAAATCAAGGCTACAGAATGAAGAATAGGGAGGAAAAAAGGGAGATGTATTTTGTATCTTATAACATTGCTAGTAAAGACAAGAATACTTAGACACTACAAGGGAGTTTTAATTGCATTATTTAACTAACTTTCTAGGTACTGCTGTTTTCTCCCCCTGGTATACAGACACTAGAATCATGCAAGATCACCCAAACATTTTTGTGTGTGGAGATATTGTCAGTTACTCATTTTACATATACTGTGTAGCTGTTAATTTTTCTCCTCATTTGTGTCATAACATGTTCCAGTTTTAAGAGTGCATCTAAAGTACAATGGTGTTTGGACAGTGAAGAAGTGGGATAATTATTATTTCAAATGCAGCTATGGCTAAGACAATAATGCCCAAGTGCTTCTTAGTACCTCTTGCAACCAGTAATTTGAATGAAATGAAACAAGTGGTGGTGGAATAAGAATGCAAGGCAAAAAATGACACAATGGAACAAAATAATACCACTAAAACCCCACTGAAGACGAGGTTGGGATAGAGTCTCACTAATATATGAACCGTCTTTTGTGGCTGTAGTCATAAAAAGCTAAATTTCTGATTCCACTGAAATCAATGGGAAAATCTCCCAAAGTCCTCAGGGGGACCAGATTTTGCCTCAATATTCCATTAATTTGAAATAAATAATCACCATGCATGCTATGTAGCTGACATGAAAACCATCACTGGGCTAAATTCTGCCCTCAGTTATACCATGAAGAATTTTACTCTTGTTGTCTAATTTTTCTCATTAGTATGGTAAAGGTTCACAGGGAAATAACATGCCAACTTTGTACTGTCCCGTTGATGTCCCACTCAATCTCCTGAATGCAACTGGTCATCCACAAATTTTGTATGTGGCTGCACTTACGATCCCCTCCTCCAGTTTTAGATATTGTCATTCTCTAAAACTCTGTTTCTCACAATTCATAATTCAGGGACAAAATTACAACATCCGAAAACAATGAGGAACAGCTGAGTGACATGATTTTACAACGTGGTGCTTCCCAGTAGTGGTACTTCCACTGTCTACCACTCTGCCACCAATGTACATGCCCACTAAATAGTAGTGCCTCAGGCAAAACCCCTCTAGTACAAACTGTGTTGCCAACTCTCCCAATTTTAGCATGAGCTCATGATATTTAGTACTTTTCTGAAAGCTCGAGCTCCTGGAATCATTGATTAGGTAAGTAATCCCAGCTTTCATTTTTTTAAAAGGAAAGTTTTTAGAACTCATGCTTTGGAAAAAAAATCTTGTAAATGTGAACCGTAAAAACAAAAAGTAAATAAAAAGATCTCAAATAAAAATCTCTCGTGATTTGCAAGCCAATCTGATGATTCTGGGGGCTTGACATGATTTTTGAACGTTTGCAGTTGGCACCAATGAAGTCAATATACAATTGGAATCTATTTGTTCAATTAATGTATCCAACTGAAAAGCTTTGCAGTTGAAAAATCATATACAAGAACCTGCTTTCACTAAGGCAGACTGTTTTGCAATGGGATGTGATAATGATTGGTAGGGTGAAATTGGCAAAAATGTTTGCAAAATTTCACTGGCAACTTTTCATCAATTCATGTTGTACCCCCCAGAAATTTCAATTATTTGGGGTGGGGGGGGGGGGGGGGAAGAACCTGGCCCACACCTGATCCACTGGATTACAGTGACCCCTGAGCAAATCATAAGGCACTCAACTTATATCACCTCTGGTTCCCCACTTTGCATTGGCCAGCACAGCATTAGTCAGGGGAATATTCTGCCCTCTTTAGAAAAGTGTAGGTGTCTATACTCCCCCCACTGCACTGGGGAGTTTTTAATTGTGTGAAATCTGTGATGACCTGGATGACCAGGTTCAACAGAAACATTGGTCTATCTTCTGCCTAAATCCAGGTAGATCAAAGTGGCTACCTCACAAAAGATGATTGACAATTGTCTGACAACCAAAATCAGACAAATGGAGAAGAGAGAAAAGGTCTGTGTTTGCAGCATTTAAAGAGTCTGTATGCATTGGATCACAAACCTTTCCTACTGTAAATTACTCATTCCTCTGCTAGGCTCCTTTGGGGAAACCAGAAAGATTTGACACACCTGCTCAGAAACACTGTGTCTCTAAAACTCAGATCTATTAGAGCAGGGATTGGCAACCTCTGGCACATGGCTCGCCAGGGTAAGCACCCTGGCGTGCTGGGCCGGTTTGTTTACCTGCCGCGTCCACAGGTTCGGCCAATCGCGGCTCCCACTGTCCGCGGTTCGCCGCTCCAGGCTAATGGGGGCTGCGGGAAGTGGCGCGGGCCGAGGGATGTGCTGACCGCGGCTTCCCACCGCTCCCATTGGCCTGGAGCGGCAAACCGCGGCCAGTGGGAGCCGCCATCAGCCGAACCTGTGGACGTGGCAGGTAAACAAACCCGCCCGGCCTGCCAGGGTGCTTACCCTGGCGAGCCACGTGCCAAAGGTTGCTGATCCCTATATTAGAGTCTACAAAGTACAGCTGGAGGCACAAGGGCCATAGATCCAGGGGAAGCCTCCAATGCACGTTCTCTGGAAGGGATTGGGGGGCAGAGGGGCAAGCTCTGTGAAAACTATGGTGTCTCCTGCACTTACTATTGGAAAGAGGGACTTAGAGACTAGGCAGCATAGTAGGCCCTATGCAGCATGGTGCCCTTTTCTTTTAAGAAGTAAAGCCACTCTCTGTTGTTCTTATTTATCATTTGCATTACCATACTGCTTATCAAGAAGCCCCTATTGAGATCAGGGGCCCTCTTATGTTAGGCACTATCCATACACATAATGAGAGATGGTTCCTGCCCTGGTGAGTTTTGCCATTGAGGCCAGGGTTTCAGTCCTGGAACCCGAGAATGTTTGCCTAACGAAGTCAGGTGTGTGGAAGCTGAAAACCAATGAGTCTCACTACCAAAAGTAAAGGACATGTCCAAAGTTAGTTTGGTGGCAAACTCATCTTTAACTCGCAGTATGCCAACCAGAAAATACAACTGGGGCTTCTCCAGGGGCCTGTGGAAGCTGAAAACTGTTTGAAAAACAAAACAGTCAAAAAGGAGAAAAGATGAAAAAAGAGTTAAATCTAACAGGGAAAAAAATCTGGGGAAGAGACAGGTGCCTAATGACCTTTTAGTCAATCTACCTAGATATATACACTCTTTTTATTTACTTAATATAAAGACTCTGCGTATGCTATGAGCGAGTGGTGTGATTCCCAGCTTGTATACACGTGCTGGCACTAGCTCCCTAAGAGCTAGCGTGAGTATAAACAGTAGTGTAGCTGCAGTAGCACAGGCAGTGGTGGCAAGGCTTAGCCAAGCTGAGGACGTATCCATGGGCTTCAGGTGGGTTCACACTCGGTGCTGCTGCTCCCTGTGGTACTGTGGCTACGTCACTATTTATACTCGTGCTAGCTCAGAAGAGAGTTAGCGCCGCTATGTGTACGTGAGCTGGGAATCACACCCGTAGCTTGTGGTGTAGACGTAGCAGAAGAGAAGTGGGTCAATGACACTGATATATAAGATCGGAGGGAATACCAAGAATATACAGGGAGCTCCTCAGCCAACAGTGCCCAAAACCACAGTGCTCATTGCAGGGTCAGTATGTTGCACCCTGCTGATGCGGGGAGGGCAGAGCCCTGCAAATCTTGTTAGCTTTGACAGATGCTGGCCAGGGCCTAAGGCCCAATATTACCTCCTAGGATGATAGTGTCACAGAAAAATACTTATAGGTACACTTGAAAAGAAGAAAACTGGTGTATGTTAGTCAGTACAGAGAAGCAGAACGGGACATTTAGTCTTCACAGCCTTTCCAAGTGGCTGGGCCTGGTTCAGTACAAAGCAGGACAGAGAAATCCATGTCTTTTGTGTTGTTGTCACTAGAGTCAGCTGTGCTGTAGCAGCCACTGTGTCTCTGTCCCATGCAGCTGCTTTGCCACTTCTCTCCCAGCAGCTCCTCTTCCAACCCATGCTTCATAGCAGCAGATCATGTGACAATGATAAAGGCTCACAGAAAGAATCAGGTTTTCTTCTAACACTGAACAAGGAGTGTTAGTAGAACTTTATTATCCCTAATGCTACTGCAAACCTTCTCAGCCCCTATTCCTACTTACAGATTTAAAGAGTCAGGATACATAGGCTCACACTGCACAGTGGGAATTGGAGGAGGCTCGGAGAGGAGGCTGCCTTAACACTCTCTCCCCCTGCTTAAATTTTCAGTGACAGGGGAGGGATGAAAAACAGAGAATCCTCTCCAAGAGGTGAGTGGGGAAAGAGGTAAAGGGGGAAATCTATGGGGGAGGGGTGGGAGGCGCCACTCAAAGTGAGATGCCTGGGAAGCAGGAAGGTCCACCAGGGGTGGGGATAAGAAACCTTGTGGGAGGGATGGAGTGATAACTGGAAACTACATGCTAGTAGCTTAAAGCCTCAACTAGATGGCACCAGGGCACCTGCCCTTCCCTCCCCAAAACAGCCAACCAACCAATTACAATTGTCTCTCTTACACCATACCCCCCGCAATCTATTACTCCTGCAGACTTCTAACCAATTCCACCATGCTAACTTATAGAAGGAAAGCACAACAGTGCCAGACTCCTAGAATTTGGGGAGTAGGAAGTTTAGTCCCTTCAAGGGACTTCCGATCCAGTTATCCCTCACCATCCCAAACCCAAATTGTCATTGGGATGAACAGACCTCACTCAAGGATGCCACACATAGCATCAGTCCTTCAACTAGGCACATGAAGTCAGTCCCTCTACCAGCACCCTCATTCATGGCCTCCATAGAGAGAGAGAGGATAGCAGCCTCAACCTCTGGATGCTGAGTGCATGTTTGGCAGTCTACAAAACTAGCCTCTAACAGGGCCGCCTTAATCCTGCCTCTGTCTCAGTCCACAAATTATGCGGAGACCCTTTTGCTGGTTCAACACCCTGTGCAGTTTGTTTACAGTCGCATCCTACCGTCTTCACAGCATACCTAAGACCTTTCCCAGGCAGAGGAGAGCAATGTCTCTCTCCCTCTTACTGCCCGCTTCCCCCCTGTGCTCTTTCCTGTGCCTATTTGTGGGCTCGTGGCTAAAGGCTTAATTGGCCTTTCTGCCCTGCCCCGCCCACAAATTAGGCACAGCCTTGCATAGTCAGCTCCAATCTGCTTTGCCTGATTGGGGCTGCTGTGAAGAGGGCTGACTCAGGCCTTTGTACCTAGCACTCTGCTACCTAGCCCCACTCACAATTTGAAACTGGATGAGACCTCTGAACTGACCTGCATCACTGAAACCTGGTTGGACGCTACCTCTGACCCTATTCTACCTCACTTACTCCATACACAAAGATCCACAAATGAGCTAGAAAAATAAAAGAGGAGGTGGCGCAGCAATCTTCTTTCCCTCTAAATGCAGAAGATGCCCCACCCCAGAAATAAAAACCTTTGAATATGTGCCTATGATCTTTGCGGTGAGGGGAAAAAAAGAACCTAAGACGACTTGTAGTCTACAGATCTCCATATGAAATCCCTATAAATGTCCCATATGGACTAATAGACCTGATGCCCAGCTGGAACAACCAGGTCCATCGTTCTTGGAGAGATCCCTTCTACGTACACATTGACAAAGACACACTAGCAACCGATTTTTTGTCCTATAGAAAAATCATAGGTTTCACACAGGCAGTCTCTGAACCTGCACACACAGACAGATACATGCTGGACCTGATATAGCAGTGGACATTGAGGACATCACAAAGGTCCTGCTCTGCTGGATCAACCATCACCACATTGAGGTCAAAGTCATGGCCTTCCCCAGAACTACTGCAGCCATGAAAACTTTTGAAACCTTTACAGTCTGAGCATGCCCTCGAAAGGCTCATTAGAGCATATGCCCTCAAACCATATGCTCTAATGACAAGGGACCAACAATCTGGTAGAACAGTACAATCACCTGATGACCACAATTATCTATAACTTCAACCCACGTAGAGGTAGCCCTACAGATTTTAAGAGGACATGTGAAAAATACTTTGGGGGAGCCAGTTCCTCCAAGTTCACATGATCTCTGGTCCTAATTAACATCCTTTCTGCCCAGCATCATGAAAACTCTAGCCTGACTCGGTCAATTAACTTCCCTCCTCTTATGCTCTTTACCTGAAGAAAAGAGAATTAACTATTTTCAATTCCATGCCGTACAGACACGGACTCACACACACTTCCATTTTGGTTTATGTGGGTGCCCACCATGCTGTATTTTCCCTTCACACCAATTCCTTCTTCTCCATTTCCGCACAGCAGGTCACTGGTCTTTCCCCCTGTTTCTTCCTTCTTTGCCCCCTGCTGGCCTACGACCCCCTTCTCCTTTTCTTGCCTCCTCCCTCCCAATTTGTAGGTGTGTGGAGACTCCATATGGAAGGAAAAGATTGAGACATAAAGGCAGATGTCCACAGTGGGGAACTGGAGAAAGAGGATAGAATCTGCAGGGAAAGGGTGAGAACTTGAGTGGAAGGAGACCAATGGGGAGAGGAAGAAATAGAACAGTAAAGAGAGGGAGAGGGGCAAGGAGAGCCCAGGAATGTAGAAAAAGAGGAAAGAAAAGGGAAGGCCGGAGGAATAGATTTGGGGGAGGGGAAAGGAGAAACCAAAAATTAACTGAAAGTGAATCTGAAAAATACTGAGAGGCCGAGAGAAAATTGTTGAGTAAAGAAAGAACAACAAAAACAAGGGAGACATGCTACAGTATGCTCTTGGGACTTTTGTATTTGGTGCCAAAATGTTACATAACATACATACTGTAATTTTGATTTTTATAATAAGGGAATGTAATTCTTTATGATGAGGAGAGATTGTGAGACACGGTTGTCATGATCCTGTGTCGTATGGTAAAGGGGAATTACCTGTCTGGGGTTGGGATGTGTTTACAGTCTTGATGCTGGATTTTTGAATACTTTTACATATATTTGTGTGTCTATGTGTGTGTGGGTCAGGGGAATATGTAAGGTTGTTTGCAGCCTTAAGAGGTTATCCAGCCAAGCCTCCTGCATGGAGGCAGGAGCAAGTATACCTAGACCATTCCTGACAGGTGTTTGTCTAACCTGTTCTTAAAAACCTCCAATGATGGGGATTCCACAACCTCCCCTGGAAGCCTATTCCAGACTGTAACTACCCTTACAGTTAGAAAGCTTTGCTTAATAGCTATTTAAATCTCCCTTGCTGCAGATTTAGACAATTACTTCTTGTCCTACCTTCAGTGGACATGGGGAACAATTAATCACAGTCCTCTTTATAACTGCCCTTAACATATTTAAAGACTGTTATCAGATCTCCCCCGTCACTGTTCATTTCTCAAGACTAAACATGCCTTGTTTTTTAAACTTCCCTTAGGTTTTCTAAACCTTTTATCAGGTTTTTTTTGCTTTTCTCTGGACTCTCTCCAGTTTGTACACATCTTTCCTAAAATGTGGTATGCAGAACTGGACACAGAACTCCAGTTGAGACCCCACAAGTGCCAACCAGAGAGGCACAATTACTACATGCCACATGCCTGGTAATACATCCCAGAATATTAGCCTTTTTTGCAACTCCATCACACTGTTGGCTCATATTACATTTGTGATCTTCTAGAGCCGTCACATACTTTTTCAGAAGAACTACACCCTAGCTAGTTATTCCCCATTTTGTAGTTGTGCATTTGCTTTTTCCTTCCCAAGTGTAGTACTTTGCACATATCCTATTGAATCTCATCTCGTTGATTTTAGACCAATGCTTCAATTTGTCAAGGTCATTTTGAATTCTAACTCCATCCTCCGAAACGCTTGGAACCCCTCCCAGCATGGTGTCATCCACAAATTTTATAAGCATACTCTTGACTTTATTATCCAAGTCATTAATAAAAATATTGAATAATACCAGACCCACGACAGACCCCTGCAGGATCTCAATAGATACGTTCTCCCAGTTTGACAGTGAAACATCGATAACTACTCTGAATACAGTCTTTAAATCAGTTATGCATCCACCTTATAGTAATTTAATCTAGATCACATTTTCCTAGTTGGCATATCTTTTTTGTGTTTGCTTTTGTTGAGAAATGTATTTCAGAATGGGCAGGGGATCCCTGGGCCTCCCCCATTCCTGTTTTTTTTTTTTTTTTGCCTCCTCACAGCCTCCCTATGTTTTCTTGGCTAGCTAAGAGCCCGAGTGGGTGTAATAGCTCGGCTGCCACCCTGAATCATAAAGCACAGGGGTCCTTACCTCTGGGCTGGAGTAATGAGAGGGCTTGCTGCCGTCACTCTCACTGGAACTGCTTTCACTCTCTGAGTCAGATTCGGAACTGCTCTCGGATTCACTGGAGCTGCTGCTGCTTGACCTCTTGCTGGAGAGCCCCGAGGTTCTGCTACTGGGCTGCGGCACGACGATGCTGCCAGCCCCACGCACAACCCACCAAGGGGGAAAGAAAAACAAACAAACAACATAAAACAAACAAAAAAATAACTTTCTGCTATTTTTAGGGGGCTAGCTCACAGCTGTCTGAATATTGGCAACCTGGGCTTTGCTGTTTTTAAAAATAAGTGGTCAGATGGGTTGAAAATAACTTTCTTTTAATGGCAAAAATACCCAAGTTGAATGTTAGTTCCATACTAATACACCATTAGCAGCTCTTCCTTCTATGAGAAAAGGATCGTATTTTCATTTCCGGTTGCCTTTTTCATATTTAACAGAAGTTTGAAGAGTACATGTCAAGTCCGACTGTTTAAAATGATCAAATTTTAGAAAAAACAGAATATAGAAAACAGTCTCACAATGTCTACTGAATACTCATTAGCCCAGAGGGGAAAGCAGTAAGATGGCAAAGATTAAGAGTTAGTAAACTGGCATGTACTCCATAGTACTTGTCACTGGTCAATTAAAAAAAAAACCCATAGAGTAATGTCTCTTTGGAGCTTTCTGCTGACACCACTCTTTTGTATTCTTTCCATGTATTAGTTAAATAGAGATGATTTAGTTAGCTATATGCACAGCTATATTTACACAGACCTCTGCTAGATCTAAAGCTCTGATCCTGCAAACATGTAAGCATATGTTTAAACACATGAGCAGTCAATAGGATGACTTAGATTCTTAAAAGTTAAGCACGTCCGTAAGTTTTTGCAGGATTGGGTCATTAAATTTAGGGAGCCACAGACCACAGGAAAATATATTCTTTTCACAGGTAACTAATTGACCACACATATTAAAGTATCAGACAGCCATAAACATCTGAGATGGAAATGACCTACGTATTGAGTCATCCAACACATTCCCCAGGCAATGGAGGCTTCCCTGCAGTACAGTACATTTTCGAGTGATTTGTCCAGCCTGGTTTTACGTGACTCATATGAATGGAGCTTTCACTTCATCCCGTGGGAAACTACTCTGCAGCCTAACAGAGCTCACTGCAATACGTTTTTCCTACTATTCAGTCTAAATTTGTCCTCCTAACTTATTGTTGCTGTTTATTATTTAAACTCATTACTCAGAGTGATCACCTTAAACCATTCTCCTCCCCCCTTGGTATTTACACCCTTCAAATATTTGTAGACTGTTATTCTGTCCCCTGGCAGCCATCTCTCAGCCAAGTTATACATATGTAGCTTCTCTGATCTTTCCTCATAAGTCAATACTACCTCCAGGTGCTGGATCATTTTTATGGCTCTTTTCTGAACTCTTTCCAATTTGTCTGTATCTTTCTGATAACAGGAAGCCCAAAACTGAACACAGTATTGCAGGTGTGTTCTCACCACAGCCACATAAAGAGGGACTATTTCCTTGTTGTTCCTTGATGCACACCTCCTGCATATGTAGAGCTAAATTACACTGACTTTTTGGCTGAAATATCATATTTGAAACTCATGTAGTTTGCTGCCCATTAATACCCTTATATCGCTTTCAGAATTACTGCTTCCAGGATTCTCTCACCGAATAGGTGCATTTTGGATGATTTCCCTCCACAGATATTAGCTTGCATTTTTTTCAAACTGAATCTCATTTTGTTATTTACTGTCCATGTTTCCAGATGCCTTTGATTTATTTCTCTGTCCTCACTGGTGTCTGAAGCAACTCCTAATTTAGTATCAAATGCAAACTGAATTAAATGGCTGTTCACTTCCTCTTCCAGACCATTAATACAGATGTTAAATGAGCCCAAGCCAAACACCCTGGTATCCCAGTAATCATATTCTCCCAGCTCAGAACACCACTGTTTATCATTACCCTTGCTTACATCCTTCAATCCATATCTGGTCTTATCATAGTCTTCTTATCCAAGCTAATATGAATTAATTTTGAGAGATATTTTGTCTCAAATAATTAATTACAATTCAAATATACGACATCTAGTGCTTTCTTTTCATCCATTAATTCCATCCAGAAAGCAAGGATCTGATACCTGAGCCAAGTCTTTTGAGACAAGAAATTTATGGGTAAGATTCTTTCCTAAATTGAGATCCACTCAGTGTAGGAAAGAGGAAAGGCAGTCAGAGAGCCAGTTATAGCTCCCTGATTCTCTGCTCTGTGGAGCTCCTGGTCCCTGCCCCAGCAGGCTGCTCTCACTTAGGCCAGCTGTTAAAGGTCCACAAAGGACCATCTGCCTGATATGAACCAGTGTAGCAGCACTGTAGCCATGTTCCCTCCCACCCCTAATATGTCCCCTTCCTACAGTCGTTAATTTGTAATGAAAAAGGTGCCAGGGCTCAAGCAATTAGGTGCCGGGGTTCAAGTAATGTTTTTACTTTCATAACTGACGCAGCAAACCCAGAGGTGCTGGGGCTATGAACCGCTCGGCCCTGGCAAGTCCTGGCACAAATTAAGCACTGCCTTCCTGTCTCTTGGCATGTCTCCTACCCAGGACCGGGCATAGGAGCTGGTTCCATTGGCTTTATGATAACTGAGCCTCCCTGCACTGGGAGAATTCTCATCTCAGTATCTAGCCCCTTTGTACTGCCTGGGGGCAGAAAGGAACCAGACCACATAGGAAATCTGGCCCTGTGTGTTTTGATTAAAACAATAAATAAAATGTAGCGAATGAAGCGAGAGCAGCTGGAATTTATTTACATTTGCCTAAGAATTCCAATCAGGGATCCCCTTTCAGAGGCAGAAATTTTACACTAACAGAGGCCCATACCACTTAGATAGTCTAGTGCAGCAGAGACTAGTAAAGGAGAGTATACAATCCCTTTTCTATGCTAAGGTGTTTATTATCATGTCCAGACGTACCCAGACACAGTGAGTGCCTTTAAAAACTCACCAGTTGTTGGTTTTGCTATTATTTGTAATATCTCCTTGTTTAATTGGTTAAATGTGGGAAACACAAAATTTTCAGGGCACCCATTTGTAGAGCAGTGATAAGAGACACATTGATACTTGAAATAATAAGGCTGACTGGAAAAGGACTCCTGAAGTTTGTTCATTACTTTGGGACCAATCAGTGGTGTGCACATGTGATAGGTCCAGTAAATCAGAGATGGGCATTTCTCACTTTCTTTACTTACAGTAATAGATTCTAGTTACTAGCCTTGCTAATGAAATGAGAACAAAGTAAGTCACAATGTGACAATTCTTTCAGGAAATGTGAAAAGACAAGTGCTTTTTCTGACGGAGTGGTTTAGGGAGCCAGTGTTCTGAGAGTGTCCTACTTTAATAGACTCTTAGTCCTTCTCAGAAAATCATTGTCAGTGTCTGTCTGACAAGCTTCTTCAACATCACAGAACATCTGCACATTTATGTCCCGCCTCTGGTGGTTGTGGTTTTAATTTCTAGCCCATCATTTTTGTTTGGCATTGATTAAAGTATTCAGAATTCCTAGACAGGGGATGAGGGATAAAAAGCAGTAATATTTCTTTCTTGTTGTGACATGAAATGTTTTTTCTAGGCTGTTGAATAGAAATCATTACTACAGCCATACGTATAAAATATAACTCTTGAACTCTTCACAAACATCTGGAAATCTATATTTGCAGCTCTAATGGTAGCCAATATGCTAAAAAAAAAAATAAACTACACAAATGTTTTTCTATTTCAATTGATACTGTGATAATCTCCTATCCCCCTACTATCTCCAAGGCTGTGAACACACCATGATTTTGAAAAGTGTTCATTGGACTTTGGTGGTTCAGTATAAAAACACTTGCATGTTTCTTTTTACTTTCTTTTTAAAAACCATCGACCATGGATATGGTTCAATGAATGCTACTTTGAACTTCTCTTGTTTAAGCATGCTAGACCATGCAGTCAAAATAAAACATAGACATGCATTTTAATCCTTGTGACAAACAACATTCACAACAGTATATGGACTTATGTCTTAGAGTCAATTATTGCATGTTGGAAATGGTATTTTTATTTTAAGCAACTAAACAAAAATATGGGTAGTAACTACCCGTCCAAAGCCCTGTCATGAGAATACCCACTCTGATTGGCCTAAGAGAGCAAGATATTACTCTACAGAGGGCGCCAAAAGCTCAGTAAGGTACTTAGGCTACGTCTACGCTATGAGCTAGAGGTGTGATTCCCAGGACAAGTAGACATACTCACACTAGCTTTCATCTGAGCTAGCACACTAAAAATAGCAGTGTAGCTGTGGTAGCACAGGCTGTGGCTAACAGCCCCACGTATATACCCAAGGGTTGAGGCGGGTTTGTACTCAAGGCAGCTAGCATGGTGCTTCCGCTGCCTGTGCTACTGTGGTTATACTACTATTTTTAGCACACTAGCTCAGATGAGAGCTAGCGTGTGTCCATGTGAGCAAGGAATCATACGTGACTCTTAGACAGAAGAACATCGAATGCATTGCAGTAATCCAGCTCAGGGTAACAAAGACATGCATTATGGATATCAGGTCAGGATGCCAGAGAAAGCGGTGCAGTCCGGCAATATTATTAAATTGATTCAAAGGAAATAAAGCAGTTCTGACTACTGCTGACCCTCTAGAGCCTGTTTCACCAGTGCCTTTCATTTTGGTAGCATTTTATCCCCACTTTGAAGAGCTACAAATGATAACCAAGATTGCAAGAGAGTGGAGAATCAGGCCCTTGAACTTCAGTGTTAGACCCTGATCAAGGATCATGCCAAAGTTACATGACAGACTGACCCTCTGAAACATCTTCCCATCGAAGACTGGGAAGGCTTGGAAAATGTGCACTCTTCCTGCTTTCAACCCCCACAGATCTATATAATTTCACTTTGCTAAGGTTTAAATTTATCCAGATTTTTGCTTGCAACTTGCTGTTTTGCTCAGTAAGACAGTCCCTTTGACACTGTATAGTATATTAATTTCCATGTCTGGAAATTGAAAAAATATAACTGGTGTCATCTGCATAGCAGTGATAATCTAAACTATTCTTGTTCTAAATCTGACTCTAAAGGCCCATATACAAAGCAGCA